ATTCTCAATTTTTCTTAATACTTCTAAGTAGACAATGGACAAGTTGGTACAGATATTTTTCTATCGACACACCCTGTATTTAGAATTTGATATGTTAGAAGACATTCGTTTCTGATGGACTGTGGATTTTATACAAATTGGGTTTTTGGTTTAGAATAAAGGAAACCTCTGTTTTACGTTTGGAAAACGTTTCTTATGAAATTTTAAATTCGATAAAGAAATTTGTATTATAACATATTCAATAATAGTCTGTTAATCGGTATAGAATTTCGTTCAAAATTGATCGACGATCGATAAAAATATTTGAAATTGTTGCAAATGTAATACAGAAAGAAGAAAAACAAAAATTACGCCGATACTTGGAAACATCGATCATAATTTAACCAGATCGATCAAAAGAGTGATCGTTCAATCACTCGACGAGTAGAATGTTAATTTGTATAAGCATCCTCAGTACAATTGTCAAGTATACAGTAGCACAGACCTCTCCATAGAACACAGAGCTAGAAATAGCAGTTCCTTAGAAATAGCAGTAGAAAGTAAAGTTAGAAGTAGAGTCGAACATAGAGTAGCATAGAAAATCTCATCCTCACCCGCAAACCGATAAAACAAAGAATACCACGACGATCGAAACACATCGACCGATCCTCGAAGCGAGAACTTCTTCTCCGGAAGACGCTGTGTGATCGAACAGAAGTCGGCAACCTAGAAAATTCTCCTCAGATCCGAAAGCCGAACGCGCCCGAGGAACAGTCAGCGAAGAAGAAAACGAAGAAACAGAAGAACGAAGCGAGGGAAAGAGGAGAGCATTGTGTGTGATTGATCCGTGAAATTGTACAGTGCGGATTTTCGGTAACAATAATGTTGCCGCCGATTTTGAACAACATTAACAGTGACATACTGACGCTGTACACGAATCCTGGGAACGGTCGGAGCGTGGCCACTCGAGCGACGAGGGGCCGGTACGCGGAAATTGGCGTGAAAAGGTAAACTTTTCCCATTGAAAGCTCATTTTCTATTTTTCTGTCTACCTCTTTGTTTGTGTACGTATGCGTGTAATTATTGTAATTATATATTGTCCTAGAATTGGCTTACGTTTGGAATATTACGTTTGGAAAGTAAGATTATTTCACCTTGCAACTTTCTAGGGTAGATTATAATACAAGTTGAAACTTTCATTGCTAATTACGAGGTAATTCGTCGATTTTTAATTATGTAACGCTTGCCCCAATTTCGCTTTACGCTTTAGAATATTGTCATTTGTCGAATTCTATTATGTCGCCTCATTTCATCATGTTCGTAATTTTTGTAATTTTGTGTCCTTCTTTTTATAGGAAACTTAGTTTTTATCTTATTACCTATATCGTTTCCTATATACTATATTGTTATACATAGTTATTCACAGTTAAGTTCTATTCCTTTCTACTCGTCATTGCAGATTTCGATCAGTCACGATGAAACTGTCTTGTCACTAATTACGACAATGTTACCAAATTCACCATGTAATTATATTAGTGAAGTATGATAATGAAATGTATCAAATACTGCATTACAGTGATTTCGATCGTGGTTCGACACAGTCGAAGACCCACGATTAAAATTGACTACCAGGTCACGCTCGACGGTCGGAACAGGGGATGAAGCGTAAAATCTCTGTCGTTCGAATAATTACGTGTGCGGTGCTGTATGTACGCTGTTAAGGAAAGCAGGAGGACCGATCGCGAGGCCACGAAACCGCGTGTTAATTATTAATCGATACGCGAACCGGTGTGCGTTACACTACGAGTATCGCGTTCCGTTGCAGTTCCCATTCCCGGCACCTGCGTTTATTGATCCCGCCGCCGCCGCCGCCGACGACCATCGTGGACCGAACGCCGGAAATGGAAATTCTCGCGACGACATCGCGCATCCTGCGTTTTTTGCGTTTACATAATTCTCACCTCCCATTCGATTTTTTTTAGTACAATTTTTAACATCTTGGGTGCCTCGGAATTTTAAGCCTTTAACACGTTGACTGACTGAAAATTTTAACAGTTTAATACGTCGACTGTGTGACGGTTTTAATATTTTAACACGTTGACTGCCTCAAAATTCGAATCTTTTAATAGACCGACGATCTGAGAATCTTAATCCTTTAACACGTCGACTGTCTCGGAATTTCAACCCTTTAACGCGTTGACTGTCTCAGAATTTTAGCCCTTTAACACGTTGACTGTCTGAGGATCTTAACCCCTTAACACGTTGATAGCCATGAGAATTTTGTGCGCTTTATTCGATGTTACTTACTCTTTCATAGCAAAGACATCGCAATTTGGCATCGCATTTTCCACGTTATACTAATTCTCGCGTAGTGACGAGTAAGTGAAAAAATTAATCATCTTTTGCTATAAACATTGAAATTTTTCTAAACATTTTTACAAGATACATTTCTTTCATTAGAATAAAGGAAAAAAATAGCAATAGTTTGATTTATTGCATAAAACAATATTTCTACATCCAACGGAAATAAAATGACGTTCCAGTATTTATGTCGGACGTACCGTAGATCGTACATGGTTCACCGTGCCGCGAATCTGTGTTTCAATCTGCCGTTAAGTAATTCAGCAACGAAATCCGCGTAGAATTTCGAAGTTCGAGGAGAATTTTCCTTGCGGTAAACTTTCTACCGAGCGGTTAGACTGAAATTTCAATGGTGAAGATGTTCGTGTTCGAAAAGTTTAAGGAAGTTATACCTCACTCCTTGATGCAGTAATTCAATTTACAATCGTCGCTAATTTTACTTACAAAAACATTTCTTCAGTTCAAACAGTTCTACCAAAACTCTCGAATAAGGATTCAATTTTCTTAATAATACCGTCTGTACATTTAATAAATTCCTTGATTATGTAAAATCATGGACAAAAAATACAAAATATGAAACACAGACATTAATTTTACCGGAAAGTGTTGTTTACGAATTAAAAGGAAATAATATACTTTCGATTTACACTCATTAATATTTACCAGGCATAATTTCCATCGTTACTATTCATCTCTTCCACTGTGGATATGGTAATCCGTGAATTCCATTTCGGTAAAACGACTCGTCACTGGAAACATGAGATATCATTATCGGTTTGAAATGTTCGGTAAACTTGATACTTACCCATTGAAATTCAATCGGGATTCTGCTTGCAAACGGACAAAAACCGATTCTTGAAAACGATTCGCGGAAAAACACGTTGAATTTTATTTTCGTGAAGGGAACCACCCCTAATTGGTATCCACTCGAGGAGAGTCCTATTACTACACGCTGAGGCCACGAACCCTCGGACGAGAAATGCTCGTTGGAACGAGAGAGACAGAGAGGGAGAAAAAACGGTGAATGGATAAAAAAAAGGGAAAAAAGGAAATAATGAATCTCGTCCCGGGTCTATTCGCAGAGGCCCAAAGCGGATTACGGCTAAGAGGCTTACGTAAGAATAAACCGAAGGGCTTCGCGCGGTCGGCCACTTTGCTATCATATTTCATATTAACCGCTGATTAAAATCGATTTCCCCGCCGGTGACAGTTCATTCGTCGTGCTTCTTCTGCCGGTTTTGCGGTTCGATCGATGCGCTGGTGGATGCACCCGCCGGCTCGAGAACTGAAGGAACGTCTCTATTCGATGCATCGTTGGCTCGTAGTGACGATTATAATGTCTTTGTGTAGTAGCTTGTTTATATTTATAGTGAGTTGTATGGGTATTGTATGTGATAAATTAATGGAGAATTAATTTGAAGTAAAATTTGTAAATTACAGTGACGATTTTATAGTTTTAGTGTTTGAAATCAGGTGACTGGGAGAGTCGCCTCTCGAGTGCAAAGAGTTAATGAGAAATTAACTTAAAGCAAAATTAGTAAATTAATGGTAAATTAATTTAATGTAAAGTTAGTAAATTATAAGAAAGTATAGTAAATTAATCTAAAGTACAATTAATGAATTATAGTGAATGTATAAATTCACTAGTAAATTATATAAATATTATAATTGTAAATTACACAATCACATATTTATATTGTTATATAACAATTTATTTATGATTAGTCGAGCACACGTTCGCACAAAATCGGAAGCTGGCAATTTTACATATTTCAACGATTCATTTAATTCTAAAGAACGTAATTTTAATTTATCATTCTAACTTTCACGCGAAATGTTTACTTGAATTTCTTCTAAACAACGTTTTACACAAACAACAAATGAATATAAACGCATTACGCTATCTTCACGCTCACTACATTACTCCGAAAACCGTTAAATTCGTCTTGAGGACAACTATCGCACCCCGTCCACAAATTTCCACAAACAACCCACCTTCGGTCTCCCTCTCACACCATCCCACATCCGCGAGACGCTCGCCCTGGCTCGATTTAAACTGCCGCTCACCCCATAAATATCCCTAGTTCCTGAACCAGTGTCGGTCAGCGCGATCCCACGCGTGGAATTAAATTCACCAGGAAGCCCTAAAGAAGACCCCGTCGCACTAAAGAAAGGGGCGAGTGCATAAAGAACGCGAAGAAAGTACAAAGGGGAAGCAAAAAAATCGACGAAACACGATTATCACGGGACCACGTGAGCGACATGCTTTACGTATGCTCCTCGAAAACCGTCCGGAAAGGACCAGCGAAGAAAATTTCTTTTCGTTCCAGGATAGCTAAGTAAAAATCAGAACAATGGGTCCACGTGACGAATGACAGAACCAAATGCCCTTTGAAAGACAGATTTAGGAGGCTAAGGACCTATACACGTTGAAACCTGCAGCGATGCAGACATACCGCTGCAACTGACAGTTTTGTGTCTTCGACAGTTTCATGATACATGTTGCACTCAAACAAAAAGTGAAAAGGCTCAAACCTATCGCTCCCAGCGATGCCTGCAGATTTTAACGTGTATAGGGGCCTTTAAAATCTTGCTACCCCCTAGCAGACGAAACAATGTTACCAATGTTTCTTGAATAACATTAGCGAGAAGGCGTACGCAGCGGACAGCAGGTCCACCTTGTGAAGTTACCTTTCTTTTACGACTCATTTTTCATGGCTCTAAGAGATAACATGGCCGAGGCACTCGAGTACTGCCGGCAGGCCGACGTCTGGTCCACCGTTGCAATGCGTTCTGGACAGAATGCAGTATGTGATGGTGATTAGCCGTTGAACGATTCCATATAAAGATGACACTTTTTGGGAAATAGGCTCAATAAATAAACGTATCCATATTCTAGGAAGCTCACACGTGAACGTAGATTTTTTGAAACTTTTCCTGTGCACAGCATGTGGAGCAAACACTGAACACCCATGTATACATAACCTATCAAGCTTTGTGCAGGTATAAGGACACTGTCTATGGGTTCTAGGTAACAACTGGAGAAGACAAGAAAAAAGGAAAATAGGCTAGGTTTTATTTAACTCACGTGGAGCGCAGCCTCTGCACCACTGAGCCGAGTTTAGCGCTGTAAAACTGAGCTCAGAGCATCGAACCTCAAGCCTTGAGCTCTGAAAGCTGAAATCTTCGACACTTGGGTTTTTAAGCTCCAAGACTCGAGCCGTCTGTTAGTATATTAACCCTTTTCACTCGAGAGCTGACTTTCGGTCACCAATTGATTTTATACTGTAAGATTATGGAGTTTGATATTTAATACTAAACTTTGCATAAGGCGTCAACACGTGGAATATTGAAATAAAATAGTTTTATTTGTTAATTCGTGCGTGTTCATTTCACAACACTTCGTCTATATCTGATCAGGAATTGTTGAGAACAACACTGAAGCCTAGGAAATTTGAAATGCCACAGAGATTGAACTTTGAAATTTTCAACGCCGTGTTAATATAGCAACAGGCGGCTCAGGTATCCGATTGTTTTCGAGCATAAGGACTCAAGCGTTGAAGACTCTCGAGACTCACTTCGAGCTCTCAAAGCTACAAAAATGACTCTTGAAGCTTCGAAAATTCAGTCTTTAATATCAAGCTTC